AGCCACAGGTTGCAGACACCTGATACAGCCATAGCTGTTTAGATCAAAGTATATTTTGGTATAAGAATGTCCTAGTCAAAGTCAGAACCTAAATCCAGGTAAGAGTCTGTTGTAAAACTCTCTTGGTAGACTATATCGTATATGGTTGCAACTTGACTAAAGTTAAAGAGCTAACGAATCCTTCGGCAGGCTCTGCAGTGTTTGTCAGAAATAAAGGATTTTGTCTTCGTCATTTTTTTACCCCTGCAGTGACAGAAAACAAAAAGAGTCGATTAGCTGCTGCAGTAAATGATAAATGATTATAAAAAAAAGTTCAGCCATCCTGGTTCTATTTTGGACAGTTGGTCAGCCGGAACGTGTTTCAACTATTTTCATACATTTCACAGAGATGGTGATCAATCAGTTTCACAAACACAGTCCCTCAACTAGCAGAGTAGAGAATGAAGTCCCCCGGACACTTCTGTGAAAGATAAATGCAGTGTTTGCATTCATGAAACAAAAACTGCAGCTGCAGTCTCTAGCTCCCACTTCAAGAAGAGAAGTCATAATGTCTCAAGAATTTCTAAATGACCCCAGAAGTATCCATTAATCCACATCCACTCCTGTGCCCAAAAGTGATATTTTTTTTGCATGTTATTTGAACCCAGTAAAAAGGATTTGAAGGACATCTTTACTTAAGCATGAGCAGAAGAGAAAGAGCCCTAAGAAGCCAGCCAAAGGCCCTTCAGAGCCCAGAAACCTTTCATGATTTGCTTGAGCTTCATGCATGATCTGTTACATGCCAGAGGCTGATGGGAGATCATTTGTCAGCACGGGTGGAGCTGAATATAAACTATAAATCATGTCTGTGCTATCTACACACATTAATTGGACTGTAACAGTGAGGAACTTCTGCTCTTGTGTCTGCAGCACCGTAGCCATTGTTGGGCTGCTTTAAAAAGCCTCCAGGAGACAGAGGATCAGTCTCTGCTTGAGCCTTGGTTCCATTTGCTGCTAAGTTTTCTGTCTCAAGTGCTTTGCCATTTTTAAAGCTCTGTTGCATGCGAGGATCATTATAAAAAAAAAAAAAAAAAAAACAGGCTTTGGTTTTAGCTTTAGTCACTAAAACTCCACTTAAAGTTGGCAGAAATCCCCTAGTTTCCAGTGCTGAAGTTGATCAAGTGAGCGATCAGACATGTGATGAGAAATCTAGAGGGCATTTGGGAGCATTTACTGCAAATGACTCCTGGCACTGCCCTCTCTAATATTGCTCCATCTGATCACAATTTGGCATCAAAAAGAAGAGAGAGAGGCTTGGGTATAATTTAAGGCATGTCTCTTTTTTTTAATAGGAGTAGGGGGCGGGGGGAGGAAATCAAAACCTGTCATAAACAGAGCGTGCAGAGGAAACAGAGACATTACAGAGTAAATGATGTGCAGCAGCATGGGGTGAGACTTTTTTTTTGTTAAATTCAGGGGATTAAGGTTAACGGAAGTGACAAGAAAACAGGAGTCAGGGTGGCTGAGGGAAAACTAATGGCCTAATTTGCCATTAGTGTCTATTTCTTTACTGGAAACTGGAAGGGAATCTCACCTCAGCCTCTAACTGGATGTGAGTAGCCAAACATTTGAAAATATCAAACATATCATGATGCAGGGAGAGCTTTGCCTTTATGAAATAAGTGTCTAGTGTTTCCAGTCATTCCCCCCCCCTTACAGCCTATATGTTTTTCCTACCAGCAGAGGGCGCCAGCATACACCGATCATTCAACCATCATCATCAGAAATGTCAGAACTCTGAGGAACAGACAACAAGCATTTCTAAAAAGGTTTGATTGTTAAAGATTTAAAAAGGTGCATTGCAGAATTCAAATGAAACAAGTAAATAATCAAATTAGGTAAATTACATGGATAAATAAAAACATTTTGATACGCAAGCAGGTTTTAACCTGATTGTTTAAACACCAAAAATGTTTATTTAAAATCAAGGCTCCCCGTTTTCTAGATGAGTCAATTTTAGAACAGAATATAATTCAACTTTATTGTCGTTACATTCTCATAAGTACAAAGCAATGAAATGTAGTTCATGTCTATTTTGAAGTGCAATACAGGATATTTATTTACATTTGCACTGAGACTATGTATGCATGGCCTATAAAAGGTACATATAAACAGAGAGTAATTATAAGAGATACAGGGGTGGTGGATTTGTGCAGTCCTTATAGTTGGTGTCAGGAGATTTCCATCACAATACATAAATTATATCAATATAATTTCATTTTTGGAAAAGAGAATTTCATATTCTTTGTAGGCATTTAAAGAAAAATATAACATTTGTCTGAACAGCTGTACAGCTCAACATATTTATTTGAAAAAAAAAAGGTTTGTGTCTTAAACTATATAGAACTGCTCCTCTTATTTATTTATTTTTATCAATTACAATTATAATAGTGTTCAACATGGAAAGATGTGTTATATAAAAAAAAAACAATAAGGATTACTGTGGAGGATTAAATCAACTAGCAGTGTTTAAAAAAAAAACGGGTGACATGGGACCATTTCTTTTTGAAAATAATTCATAAATTATCCATTGAGAATAAAACATTGCCAATGCAGTTGAAATGACAGCAGCTTTTTAATATATACATATATATATTTTAATAATTTTGTCTATGCTTAATTTGATATTTTGGACAAAAAAGGCTGAAGGAAAGGAGTGATGGGAATAAAGGTGTTAGGGAGCAGCATGGAGTCATTGATTCGGTCAAAGTCTAATAGTCTAAACCAAATGGTTTAAACCTTTTATGATGAAAAAAAAAGAAAGAAGAAGAAACCAAAGCTGCTTACATTTCCTGCCTCTTCCTGCTGCTCTTCCTCTCAGCAGCAGCGGCTCTGCTGCGCATCACCAGGATGGCCTCACAGCTCACTATTCACTATTCCTCCTCTTGTTTAACGCCGAATCCCACAGGTCAGGGAATTTAGCTTTAAGAAAAGAAAAAAATATATATATTGGAATAGAAAAAAAAGCAGAAGGACAAAGAAACAACTACAAAAAAAAAAAAGAAAAAAAAAAACACCTCCGGTTGTGGCCAAATGGGTGTGATGTTGGCCTTGGACGGAATGAGAGCTTTCTGATGGAACAAGGGTTTGAGAAAATATCCAGATGGATCAGGATTTGTGTTTCCCACCACTTTTAGTCCTGTTTTCATATCTTGTGGTTACAGATTTTTTTTTTCTTTTATCTCCAAGGATCCTGCTGTCTTGGAGACAATGTCTCACAATTCCACATGTTTAATCAATTATAATAATTAGGATTATTTAGAATAAATCCGCTGGTTGCTTTGGAAGGACCCACCCTCTGGAATAAAATATACAAATATATATATATTGGATATTGTCTTAGTGGGAGAAAAACTACAGGCTACAGGGAGAAAAACTCAAGATGGAAAAAAAGGTGAGGTAGCCTATATTTAGTGGCCACTAGATGGTATGATCTGTCGCCTTTGGACGCTCTGACGCATCTTCTTCTAATTCAGCATCAAATAAAGCAGGTCATGCTATCTGTTTCATTGGTTTCATTTAACATCAATGTGCTGCTGCCTTTATTTCAGAGAGTTGTGCGATTTTCTTTGTAAATCTCTGTTTTTCCACACAATCCTAGAAGAAAATCCGATGGTTGATTATTTAAAAATATATAGGCCTACATTTTTAAATTAACATGTTTTTAAAGAATTTGGGTGTTTTCGCTTCTCTTTCAATTATATAAAATGTATACATTCTATTATTAAAAAACTGTGATAATGAAAGTAATCTTTGTAAAAAAAAAAAAAAAAAAAAGATTACTTTATAATTACTCTCCAAATTATTCAAATGTTTATTTTTAACCAACCAGATGCAGAATGTAATAATAATGGCCTGATAAAAAAAAACTAAATGAGACGAAATATAAATACAAATAGAATTATATCTGCCGCTTTAAAATAACAAAAAGGGAATTTTCTGTAGAAAATGTATTTCCAGATTGGCATGAGTTAGGCACAGTGTTTGTAACCTCCCTATGCGGTCATTTTATTATGTCCCACTTGTGCAGGGAAAACTTGTGGTCTGCAAATGAATTTAGTTTTTAATCTGATGCATCCTGCAGTAATTTTGAATTTGGTTGAATTTGTGGATTTCTGGACAGATAATCAAATAAATTCCGCGATCTGGTAAGTTTAGTTTGTATTATAAAGTTACCAGTTTCCCTCTCTCACAAACAGATCCTGCATGTACATAATGATGGGCCAAAACATGAAAATATATATTATTTTATCATTATTATTTTCCATCGTAAATTAAACGCGTCGCATGGCATTTAGGCTCTAAGAACTGCGCGCATTTTGAGGTTTATCTCTGATTGCTGCAGCAGCACCTCCATTGATTAGAAGCATAACAGACCTGAATAATCCGGAAAGCATCACACAATTTAATGCGTTAATATTGGACATGCAGTCATGTTAAATATATTTAGATTTCAAACAAAGCTTTTGGAATGAGAATGTGTTGCAATAATAGACAAAAAAATATAGTAATAATTATTAATTGATTTAAGAGGGGTGGCGCTTTCTTGTAAATATAGATCATTCTCATTTTATCTAATCTTTAATATGTCCGCAAATAATTGGTTCAGATTATTACTGTTTTCGCATAATTTGAAATTAATTAAATGCAACAGAGAAGCAAAACCGAACCTTGCAAGAACAGAGTTTGATCATCTAATAGGGTAAATGTTAGTTCACAAGAAACAGATATGGATTAAATCTACATTTCACTTCAGGGTCCAAAAATATAAAGGCCTATATATAAAAAACTTCCTTTAAACTTTTCTTAACTTTCCTCTACCCGATTGAGCAGCACGACGTCTTTGACGCGGTGGCCAATCACTGACGAACCTTTCCTCCTCCTCAGCCAATAGGCGCCGGAGGGGAGTGAGTCTGAGTCACAGGTGAGGCTGATTAGTAAAAAAAATGAGTAAAAAGGGCCGGAGTCTGGAAGGAATCTGAGAAGATGGTAGATCTGCGCTGTGGAGCAGCAATGCGCCAGCGGATGTAGTAAAAAGTCATCGTCCTGTGCGGGAATGAAAGCAGGACGCAACCCTGGAGGGTAAAACAGCTTGAGCAGATCTCGTAGGAGAGAACAGCCTAAAATGTGGATGAACTGACATTTTCTCCTCCACCAGCGCTGATTACTCAACTTAAACACCGAGCAAAGCGTCGCTCTCCCGTTGGAAAGAAAAATGGCCGTTCGTGGCAACTCGCTGATGCCTTTTTCCATCCAGGCCATCCTGAATAAAAAGGACAACAGCAGACACTTACCAGATCTGGACGTTTGCTTCTCCAAGGCGGCGTGTTGGAAAATATTCGGGGACATGAACGAGGGGTCCGAGAGGACCGACGAGGCGCCATGCGAGCGGTCCGAGCAGAAGGGCTACGACTCGGACTCCGGACTCAGCGACGACAACGACGGAAAGAGCGCAGCAGCGCGCCAGCCTGAGAGGGACGGGGAGCTGGTGTCGGACGTCCCGGAGGAGAGTCTGCAGGAGGAGACGGACCATGAATCTGCAGCTGCGGAGAACGCAAAGAGTGACAGTGAACCCAACAACACCACGGGTGGGTAGGCCTTTAAAATCAGAACATACGTGCGTAAAACATCAGAATGTGCCACAATTAATGTTCTGGAGTCAAAACCCTTAACATTAATCCAATCTACATGATCACTGTTGACAATTCATAATTAATGCAATGAATAAAGATGCGTCGAATCATAAAAAGCGTTGCACATCGTGTAATTTTAGGACATCGGAACTTATTTCCGCGTCCTGTTTGCTTTTACGCACGAATTGCGCCCAATTTACGCACTATTAATAACACATAGCTCATTTATACCTATTTTTTTAAATTCCTTCTGTTGTATTTTTGGTCCCGGAAATATTATTTATATATGTTTGGCAGGGATTTCTCAGTTTATATGATGCTGTGTTTAAAGCATATTTTTAAAATCCTTTGCGTAAATTGGATTTTTTATTTTCTGGTAGCTGAACGACGATCTTAAGGAAATTTAATGTAGTTTATCTTTCCTAATTTAACAGGACATTTAATTAAGCCGGAAATATGTAAATGACTGATGAATTTCTGGAAATGGATGCAAATCTTGGTGTCTCCTCTGCAGATTCTAGCAGCCCAGACGAGAAGAACCTGGAGCAACCCAAGCAACGGAAGAAGCGCTCCAGAGCCGCTTTCTCTCACGCTCAGGTCTTCGAGCTGGAGCGCCGCTTCAACCACCAGCGGTACCTCTCCGGGCCGGAGCGAGCGGACCTGGCGGCCTCCCTGAAGCTGACAGAGACTCAGGTCAAGATCTGGTTCCAGAACCGACGCTACAAGACGAAACGCCGGCAGATGGCCGCAGATTTGATGGCGTCCACCCCGACTGCAAAGAAGGTGGCGGTGAAGGTTCTAGTGCGGGACGACCAGAGACAGTACGGGCCTGGGGAGATCCTGCGGCCGCCGCTGCTCTCTCTGCAGCCATCCTACTATTATCCCTACGCATACTGCCTCCCTGCGTGGACACTGTCTGCGTGCGCGGGGAACCAGTGAGAACCTTAAGACTTTAATTTATTATTCATTTGATTGCTTCTCTTCTTGGGAGCCAACATAAAAAAAGAATACTGACAAGAAGAAGGGACCTGAGGGGACAATTAATCAGCTCTGCGTCCCTGATTTATCATCTGGGGGTCCCCGACCTCTTTTACAACCACCAATACTCTAAATATTCTGTATCTGACCTGCAGACGTCTTCAAGCAAAAATATCTAAAATAAAATGATTTAGGTAATTTTATCTAAATGCTGGGACCCCACAAAGACTCTAAAGACTTAAAATGACACGTCATGAGATTTCACACGCGCCTTCCTACCTCTGCAGTGATTTGGGGGGGAAAAACGGTATATTCTGTTGATTTTATTGAAACGAGCAAATACTTGTTACAGATTTTTTTTATTTTTTGCTGTGTTTGTAAAGGTAAGATATTTAAGCACTTTTGAGCATATATGTCATATTCTTCTGCGTGCAAAACGCCCACAAAGCGCATGTTTAATGGGTCAGGCTGAAAAAAGGCGGCTTTTTTTGGCCTAAAGAGGGAAAAAAAGAGACTTCTGACTGAAATGCATGTCATTTTTGTTTTGAATGGCTGTTTAGATTGAAAAACATTAAAACATATCAGACATTGCTTATTGCATTTGGATGCGATTTTTTTTTTAAAATTCACTTTGCGTTTTCTATTGGCAACAGAAAACGAGGGGCATTTCCAGACATTTTTGGTGCATTTCTTTTTTTTTTTTTTACAGAACAATCTGATTAGTTAAACTTTATTTCCTGTCCTTTTATATAGTCTTTAGTTTAACCTATATCGCACACCTATTGTGACCTAAACACTGAGCTCATTTGGTTACTTAATTTCCATGTCTTGAACTGATTTCTCTGTAAATCCATCAGTGACTATACCAACACACTAGTTTCACATAAAAAAAAATACAATTAATTGAACAAACCTAGTGTCATTTATTCCCCCGTTATGTATCTTCATAATAAAACCCCTGAGCGATTTGATTTCACCTGAGCCATGGTGGCTTTCCTCCTGTCAGACCATGATAAATGGCTCTGTGATTCCTGACAGCTACCTTTACGGCTATATGTCAACACAAGCAGAGGAGTATTCCGGGGTTAAGGAGTCCCATCATCTACATTTAAGAAAAAAGAATTGGCTTCTCTTTTGGCCCTCTAAGCGGGCTTTTTGTATTCATGCAAGAAAAAAAAAAAAACTTAACCCCTTTTTCTGCACGGTTTAAAGTCTTTATACTAAAATTGAAATATTGCAGGAGTTGCATAAGTTGTAAATATTTACAGCATTGCAGTGTTAAGTTGGGGTCAGAAGGGAGCCGCCGTGCAACACTCCATCAACTTGTAAAAGGCTTATTCAGTTACTGGAGAGTTTTAAACTGCAGATTATCCAAAACTGAAATCCTCATATTGTCCGTTTCAGATGCGAACCAACTGATTTTCTAACTTTTATTGCACCACAGCCTTACGTCTCTAAAGTTTAATGCAGCTATGAGAGCATCAATGGAAACAGCAGGTAGTGATAGAGTAGACCGGATACCTGCATGTGGATAAATCTGATACAGAGGGACATATAGGAGCTGGTCTTTCTGTCAGCCTTGTTATTTAAAACGCAAACACCCCTATTAGAATCCATTAACTTTCTGTTTCCCCGTTATTTTTTTCATTGCGCGCTTTATCCTGTGGGGCAATATCTGGAAGATACAGGCTACCAGACGCTCTGCAAATAAAACTAGTTTCTAGATGCAAGATATTTGTTTGAAGAAAATTCCTGCGGGAGATATTTTGAATTTTTTTCACCTTGACTTCAAAACGATGCATCTTTTTTTGCATCTACTTAAGCATATTTAGTTAGACTACTTTAACACAATTGTTTCAGAAGGGTAGGACATGGGACTATTGTTTTAAAATAACCAAATAAGATTATATGCAAGAAAAGGAGGCACTATTTTTCAGTGTTTTTGCTAAGAAGCGTTTGTTATTCTAAACACTGTCTTTGTTTATGTGTAGATTTATCTTATATACTGCCTTTTGATAGAAAATTATTGTCATATATGGTGGTAAAACAATAATTAAATGCAAGATAAGTGTAATTATTTAGATTTTGTTTATTTAGCTTGATGAACATAATTTGGTGCATGGTACGCCTGGACCCATAACCACCATTAAAAAAAAAAAAAAATCAGCACAAGCATAAAATAAACAGCTGGAATATCTTAGAGAATGTCTCCATGAAGCAATATTCATGTGGATCTACTTGATTATTTAAGTTTTACTCTACTTGTTGAGTACTAATAATTTAAAGATGTAGAACACGTTTAGCTCATTCAAAAGTACTGAGATGTAATTCAGTAATGCATTCAAAAAAACAAAGAAAATATGGGAGAAGGCTAAATGGGAAATTGACAACATCTTTTTCCAGATGTTTTTCTAAATTATCTAGAGATTTGTAACAATTTGGGTAAGTTTATTTGTCAGCATTTAAGTGGGTTTTACCTAGAATAAAATAATTTAATAACAATGTGAAGCCTTGCAAAAAAAAAAACATGAGAATTTACCATTATCCATCTTAAAACTAAATCATTTTTAAATCATGTTCTGTTATTGTGCAGTCCTTGTGTTGTTTCTCTGATACAGATCTAAAAAACGTAGTTTTTTTTATTGTTTGTGTTATTAACTGCAATCTGTATTTTTATTACAGATTTACCTCAATTTATAACATCTCTTTTAAACGCATGTCATGAATCCTTTCCTTTCCTCTCCTGTAGGTGTAGATTCATTTTCTGGACAACATGGATCATCCTTTTTAAAACTACACTGCTGAAAAACAGCTGGGTGCTTTAAAAAGAGCTAGAACTAAAAGGCTCTGGCTGAATTTTTTAGGTATCATTTAATACCATAAACTAAAAAGAGAAAAAGCAGCTATTGGAGGAGATCACCATAGTGTCATCAATTCCCAATTTAAAGATATAGATGTGTTTTTGTTGTACCAGTAGTCATCATTTTAAAGATTTTTTTTTTCTTATTGAAATTTAATTTTTGTATTTTGTAAAGTGACTTATGTGATATTTATTGTAATTTGCTGGTGAAATATGTTCACAAAATGTAACTTTGAATCCAGATTTCTGAAGTATGCCTAGTATTCAAGACTATTTTTTAAATCAAATAAACATTAGAATGATGTGAATTGTCTAAAATGATGGCAAAACAAAACTATGCAATTAAATATCCTCCCTTTAAAAGCTGCTGCAAGTTATTGCGAAAATATTTGTCTTTGCCATGCCAAAGGATTTCTAAAGAGCTCTATATATTTACAATACATTGGGCTAAAATCCTTCATAATCGCCTTGGAGTTTGTTACCTCTCCTCAGACTTAATGCTGATGCGAGCCTGTGCGATTTCATTGACATGAAGCAAATCCTTTTTATAAACAGCATCCCAGAGAATTTCTTCTGAAGCTTGGCACCTGGTTTCACAATCAACGTGATGACTTCAAGACACTTTGTTGAGAATTTCCACCCTTTCAGTTCAAGATAGACAGTCGAACCTCTTTCTCTCCAAAACACTTGATTGATTTAGCATCAAAGTACAAATAGGAAAAAAAAGTAATGTTTGAATTTGCAGTGTCTATTCACAATGAAACTGATCATGGAATACACATTTGAAAGAGAGAGGGATGGTGGGATGGGATCTTATTTGCCATATTAGAAAAGGCCAAAAAAGCAATAATTATGTTGGTTTAAATTATATTTACCTACATTTTTAAATCTACTTATATTTAATATTCAATCCTATTCTAAATCTGTTTAAAATATATGTATGAACATAAATTAAAGGTCTATTAATTTTTAAACAAAATAATCACTTTATTTAAAAAACAAACAACAAATGACACCATTATACCTTTGCAACGGACTAACTTACATAGATATTAATGCCATGTGTCTTCCAAATGGGGCGGCCAGATGGAGATCGTTGGTGGTCCAGAAATAGCACACCAAATCCTAACACCATATAAAATTAGGAGCTTTATTAACATGTCATTACTAATCGGTGAGTTGGGGCTGAGGTTAAGAGTTATTCACAGGGATTAAAATGGATTGTACTGAAGAAGAACAACAGAAAAACATACCTAACTAAAAATACAAAGTTTTCAATATACATCCTCCCTAAGGTTTATATTTAAAGAAAGCTGAACATAACATTGTTTTCCTAAGGAGGCATTTGATGGTGGGTTGGGTGAGGTACACGTGGGTAAATTATGTGGTATAGGGCTGGACATTTCCTCCCTAGCCACCAGCATAGTTTTAATTTTAACTAGAAGTCTAATATGTTTATTATTTACAGTAACTGCTTTAACCAACCCTTCCTCCCCATTGTGTTGCACTGCTATCAGGATGTTAATACAGAAGCTTAAACAAAGGAGGAATGACATTGTTTAATGAAAGCCTTTTTTTCTTACTCATCTTTTTTAATATCTCTTTGATTCTTATGAGCATGTAGGCCATAAGACTCCCACCAAAGGGCCAGTGAAATGTTAAAGCCTGTAGAAAATACTTTTTACATTAGAAAATCCAATGGTTTGTAGAATTTAATTATTCCCTCAGTTACATTTATTTAAGTAACAAAAAAACTAATTTATGAGCAGTTTTACTGCACTGTACTTTATAGTTTTAATGGAGTAAAAATACAATGAAGTATCACAGCTATTGTGTAAGCAAAATTTCTAACCACTCTATTAGAGATAGATCTATCTGTACGATACTAGTGCTTTTTTTCTTGCATTGGCTTACACATGCATGCGTTTGCAGATATTTTAGCACATTCGAGCAGCCATTTCCTTAGATACGCTGCCATTCCATACATTTGCTATCCATTGTTAATATTTCGCTTGATTTGTAAATTAATGTTTTTTTTTGTTTGTTTGAATCGAAACTAGTGTTAAAGATAGCCTAACACTAATTCAACAGTTTTTATCAGTGTGTAACCTTTACAATGTAAACAGTGTAAGAAAAAGCTAGATCGTTTTCACAGATCGTCCCAAAAGTATTGGCAGCACATATCAGGGATTGATTAGACTGATGGCAAAATAATTGATATCGGGATTGGTATTAAAAATCCTATATTGGTCGATCTTTATATTGTATGAATCATAAGTAACTTTATAGAATTGAGAACAACAACATTTTGTTTTAAAGAAAATGGATCAGTGAGGTACACACCTACAGCTTATGCTTATCCTGCTGGTTCATTTGGAGTTTAAAGGAAAATACAACATGCAGCATCCTGTTACTGGAAGTAACTCACCCTATGCAAACCTATATGCAAAACTTACTGTAAGCGTCAATATATTAGAAAATATAATTCTTCCACTTGATTTTATTTCTGTCCTTCTATTTTATAGATCTATCTTTGATCTCATTATTTGAAACTCCAGAATTTGCATATAATTTTGTATAATTTTACTTAATCTTTGAAATATTAAACTAAAAATAGCAAGTAGATCAGTTACTGAATACTTTAGTAGTCTTTTTACCAAAGTTTTTTACTCTTACTTGAGTCATTTGGATCACTACTTTTTACTTGAGTAAATCCATAATGAAGAAATGCAACTTTTACTTTTTTGTTGTTGATACTCTTCCTATCTAATTCTATCTTTATTTTAACACTTTCACCAGTAGTTTGTCATACTGAAAGTGCAAACAATGGTTTGAAACAGAGAGATGATTGTAAATGGTGTGTTAAAAATGCTAATTAGGTTGGGGTGGTTTAATTTGGTTTGCTTATTGTTTATTAATGCACAAACACTTCATAAAATATGCAGAGACATCAGCTTAAAATGTTTGGTTTATGTAATTCTGGCAATAATGAATATCGAAGCGACGTAAAAAACGCGCACACCACTTTTCTTCCTATGATGTTGGCTCGCCTTTTCCCAATTTTACTCCTTCACTTCGTCTTCTGTTATCATGGCAACGACAGAACGTCACGCGCACGCAGCCACACACAGCACCAAGTGGACCGCACGCGCCGGGGATTCTATTTCCGGTTCGAACAGTTTCCTGCGAACACACAGGCTTCATGGAGATTCTAACCGTGTTTACAGACTGACATGCCAAGCCGTGGCTCCGAGGCTGTTTTTCCTTTCGTGTTTTTTTTCTCAGCAGAGAGACGATAACGGCTGCGGCTCGTTAGTGGGTCATACCGAAGGGAGAGCAGCTGAAGCCTGCCTTTATTGAGTCAAAATGGCGTCTGGTTCTCCACTCAGTTCGGCTTTAATCCATCTGTGATTACTCCGACAGCAACCTGTAACTGGTTACCGAGCGTTTTGGATTCAGGCAGGTTGAAGCACACGCGTTGTCATGTCGGACTCGGAGGAGGACAGCCAGGACAAGCAGCTTAAAATAGTGGTGGTTGGAGATGGAGCATGTGGGAAGGTAAACCCCAAATACACAACAGACTTAATCAAGATTTATCGTTAGAAATTAGGGCTGGGAGTTGTATCGTCACACCGACATAATGTTTTACATCGTTTACTCTTTGCAAATAGCAACAAACTCGCGCTTCTGCTGACGCTGCTGCTCTCGCCTGGTCGCCATGGAGACCGACGCTAACCTAGCTTAACTGGCTAAAACGATCACGCTCGTTTAATCGGCCTACTTGTAAATATCAGTTTTATTCAGTTGTGGGATAGTAATCGGATACATCAGATAAATATAGTTACCAATAAACTGCGAAATAAATTCAGATAAATGTGCTGATTCACATTTGGTCCATGTTTTGTAGCACGTGCGAGCAAAGAACAATCTCATTGTTTGCTAATTAATTTCAAATGATCAGTGTGCCTAAAAATGGTCATCCATACAGCATGTAAATATGGTAAATTTGGCCTAATTTAACTTTATAGCCTTTTGCAGACTGATGGCATAACATTTAGACTATGAAGAATGAGTGGATAAATGATAAAAATAACAAAACAACGATAAAAGGAGAAATGTCAAAAACAGAATATCAAAGCAAAAATATATATTCAACGAGTTTTGAATGCTGTCTAAATGTCATTTTGGGTTCTCAAAGAAGAGCCCTAAAGTGTAGTTTTAACTAAACAATTTCAGGATTAGTATTCTTGGATTGACAGCATCCACCTTAGCTCTGTGTCTAAATGGCATTATGCAGTCATCTTCTTTGTTTATTTTTTTTTTAACCTCCAGTTCTTTCTTTGATAGAAAAATGCTTTAATATAGCTGGACAGACCTATGTAAAATTCTAAAAAAACAAAAAAACAAAAAACTGTCTGCATTGAATAACATTCAAAACATCCAGACTTTCCTATATATAACAATGTTTATAAGACATGTTCTCTTTTAGATTAGTAGACATGTAATCTACTCATACCTTTCTGGAAATCAATTTTAACATTAAATCTTCAAAGTTTAATTTGAAAAACAAATCTTTGTTGTATATAACCGCTAAAAGTTTAATTTTGTTTGTAATTCAGTTCAATTTAAATCCCAAGGGAAATTAAGTTTCAGCATGAGCTAATTTCCCCTTTATTGATTCCCTTTTTTAAATTCAATGTAGATTGCCATAATGTCTTATAACATTAGTGTTGTATATAGAACTATACTACCCAATAGCATAAAGGAAGTAATCAGAAAGTAAATCAGTGGGACAAGATGTAGACAACCTTGATAATGACAGTGAACTCCAACATAAACATTTGCACTTCTCAAAAACTATTAGGATTTGGATTGTTTTTGCTGTTGGAACATGTGTTGTGTGCAGAAAATTTGCATTTAAGCTTCAAAATATGAATGAATACAGCCCATTTGCACAACTGACTTAATCTGTTATTCCCGAGGCAGTTGATGTGCTAATTGCTATTTTTTTTTTTATCTTTAAGAAAGTCTTGGAAATACTTTCCATTGCTCCTTCAGTTGATATCACATATAATTGTGATAAAATGTAAGGTCAGTGAAGCTAATCTCTGTTTTTTTGGATAAGGATTCCCAAAATCTCATTGTATCCGTTGCAGAATATAATGACAATAAAGGCTTTTTGACTTTTTTGACTTTGACTTATCACCTGTACAATAACTGCAGAGGAAAGAATGCGCTGTCTAATCTCCAACATTCACATGATGTAAAGAAGGTCTCATGTTTTAAAAAAATAAATGAATAAAAAGAACAAAACTTTGTTTCTTGTAATAACCCCAATTTAATGAAAGCTGACTTTATGCAGTAGAGGAAACATCTTTATTACCTCTAGACTACAAAAGCTGTGGAATATAAAGCAGTAAACCTACATCAAAATGATCAAAATATCATTATGAAAAACTCAAACTGTCTTTTAAGATACTAAATCTAATTTCTGTTTCAGGTTGCTCGGTTATGTGAGTCGCACAAAAATATGTTTCGGGCAGGTTTAAAGGAGTCATAAGTTTTACTTACAGGCTTTTTGAAATGTACCTCTTTTGAAATGCATGTTTCATCACTTTTAGTCTAATTTGGACACCTTTTCAGACCCCTTTTTTGTGAGGGTACGAAGGAGAATTTGACTTGTGTCAATATGTGTGTATGTGGATGTAGTGTTAGAAACATTAGCAGTTTGCCATAGTTCGTCTACCATTGTTTCCTTGTCTCCTACACAACAGCTAAAAATAGCAACATTCGCTGACTGTAGGTGAGTCCCTGATTGTTGGAATCACCAATTTTGGTGGAACAGAGATGGGAATGGTCATAGGAAGGCAGGGTAATGTTAACATCCTTCCACCATAGTGTAAATAAAGGAGTTTAACCAGAATTGCATCTTGTGGAGAGCCTGTGTGGTTATCAGATCTGCTCAGGCCCTGCGCATGCTAGTGACGTTACACTATATGATTGGCTGAAAGTTTCCACAATGACTTAAAACACTGTGGTTGCCTGGACAAAGATCATAACATAATACAGCATCCATGTGCTGAGTGGGGAGCATTTGTAGTGTTAGCATGTCTAATGACCGATGAAGTTTTACCTGACGGATAACAAAACTAAAAAAGTCTGTTTATGGTGAACAAAGTAACTTCAAGACCATGATATAAAGCGGGAGAGCAGGGAAGCGCTGTGGCTAGCTGTGCTCAGTACCTAACCGGTTAGCATCTTTTAGCTCGGTCAGTTACCCACAGAAAGCTACGCGACTTTTTAACTTTGTGTCAACAACCGTTCAAGTTCCACAAACTAGAATAAAAGTTGTTTTCTTTGTCTAAAATCTCCAGTCATTTTTTTAAGATGTTCTATTTATCCTGAACTGCCCTCAGCTCTTAATTAAAAGAAGCACTGAGACTTTTTGTGTCACATTCTTAAATGTCAGACCTCAGTCTGTCTTAAAACACAGTACTTGCCTTCAAGACTGAGAATGATTGTATTCTACTTTCAACTACTTTAGTTCACCAAAAAAAGGCAAAATAATAGCAAATATAGGTAAAAATAAGTTGAGATGCCAGAAGAGATTTTTTTTCTCAAGAAACTGGTGCAATACAATTGGTCTGAGTGGGGTTGCCATATAGTGACATCATCACCACGGGCAGGGACCCGAGCAAATCTGACCACCTGACCAGGTTTGGTACCTACAGTACATCTGCTCTTGTTGGCTTTTCTGGTTTGAACATTGAGTACTGGTGCAAAGAGCCGAGCAACTTACACAATCCAGCACACACATTTTAACAGGGAAACATCAGATTTCCAGGTGTCAGTACAGATTAATCTAGCAGTAGTATTAGCTCAAATTGATAACGTTGGTAATAAAGTTTGTTTAGGAAAATTAACATTACTTTTGCATAAATTAATTTGCATAAAATAAGTTAAGGAAAAAATAGGGTAAAAAGTGTGGCAAAATGTATTATTACCCTAAAAAATAATTTTATGGTTAATTCAGTTAATTTTTTTACATTATACCAACCATCCTCCAAACCAACAATATAACATCACTGATTGTAGCAAGAGTTTCAGAATAAGTAACATGTAATATTTATATATAATGCACATTTTGTAGCCTTGGCTGTTGATCTGTTGCTAAAAAAACTCAGAAGTTTTCCCTGCCATTATTCCATATTATTCCATAAGTACACTAGAACAGGGGTTCTCAAACTTTTCAGATTTGACACCAGAAATAACAGTACTGCACACTAGTGATCCACTAAAAATACACATAATTACTTTACTCTATATTTATATACAAATGTAGAGTGAAGTAATTCTATCCATCTTTACATACGTTTGTTTTCTAAAATGACATTTATTCCATCGTTTTTTTAGCTAATTTGTAATGATTCAGTTGGAAATCAAATTATTGTGCATTGTGTGATTTCATGGTATTTTTACTGTAATATTTGAATCAATATAAAAAAATGTACCATTAAAAGTGTAATATCTACATATGAATTTGTTTAGTGTTGCACTTACATTTATGTATTTCACGACACATGTTGGCCCTCCATATAATTCAGCATCACAATGATCTTGTGACCCCCTCCCAACTGACTTGAGGAACTTCGCACTAGAGGATAGTAAATGATTTGCCTCTGGTTCACTATTCAAAAATCTTGTTAACAAATATTTTTATGACTTAATTAATCAATAAATTCTGTTTCGATGTTTGGTTTTTTAGAGAGATTTATCTCTAGCTAGAGATGGAATTGATACCAATTATTTATTCTCAGCTTTATTGATCTCCCATGTCTTTAAGGTCAATATTGCTTTTTCTTGAAAAATGTACATGATCAAAGAGAAAAAAAAAACAGATCAAATGTTACTCAAGTCCTGCTTTAAAAAGAAAAAGAAAACTTGAGTAGCAAATCAAAGAAAGCCTTAAAAATGGAGGGCAAATGTAGGAAGAGCGACGTGCGCTTCAAGTGTTCTGAAGGCATAGCTGAATGGGCTAATGCTGAGAAAAAAAAAGCTAGTATTGGCCGGTCGGCGTATAGGTTTACCCCTCAGAAATGCTTTCCATCAGCAGATCTCTGGGCAAATGTATTTGCAAGCCTCATATGCATATGGCACTAGGGAGGGGCCTCAGTTAAGAAAATGTTTGTCGCGTCAGGCTTTTGTTTTTACAAGTACAGACAACACTTGGCTGCTAACATCCAAAGTTTTATTTTTTTCACATTGCTTAGGTTTTTTACTTTGAACGCATACAATTGTTCACAGTGTTATGTTCCGTTTAGCTTCACCAATGCTACAGATTTATTTTTGAGTCTGAAAAAAAGGCAGAGCCTAGATTAACTACAGGGGTATTCTCTCTTTTTCTTTTCCTTGTTAAATTAAACAATCATTTGCAGTAAGGCGAGGAGGTTGCCATGACAATTCAGCCACATTTCTTCTTCGCTGCATCTTGAATCCCCCACTGAATGTAATTTTCAGACGGGCTTGTCAAGTGCTTTTTTAGCCACACATCCCCTTTTTGTAACTAATCTCCTCTTCCTTTAGAAGGTAGAAAATGAATGGTGCTGTAATAGCAAGACTTGTAGAGAAAAATGAGCGTTCTCATTCCAGAAAGTCGACGTTTTCTTTTGGGCAGTGCTGCGTTCACTTTGACTCATGCACACACACTCAACTCCTTGTAGATACGCTACATTAATAACCCCCGCTCGCAGTCCTCCCAGGTGTCAGCTCGTCTCTGTCTCAATGACTTACCTGCTTGTCTTTTGGACAGAAAACAGCAGCCCTACCCCCCCATTTTGACTAGGCACCCCTGACTGACATCTTGAATGCCGTTTCCCCCCTTATTAATGTCAATTTGCTGAGCAAATTGCAATCGGATCAGTTTTTCTTGGACAGCGTTTTCAGTGGTATTTCAGCTTGCGGTTTGTTGTCCATTCAGAATACAGGGAGATGTGGGGAGACTTGTGCACCTTAGTGAGATGTTTTTAAAATCTGGAGTCTCACATTTAGCCAGACTCTTAAGACGCTGGGCTGAAATTACACACTGCTCTATTTCTTAACCTGAGGTAGAAGACTCAGTATTTCCTTAATATTTGCTGCTTTGTTTTTTGCAGTATTTGCCGTGACCAATAAGACAAAAAGGACCATAAGATATAGAGTTGATACAATAATAGATTGATAAGCTGTTAGCTAGACAACATTTTTATCTCTTGTAAATTTTCTGAGATAAAATAGAGACACTTTTGTTGTATCACAGGAATATTTTGTCAGTGTGCCATGTTTTTTTTTTTTCTCCGCCTTTCCGAGTTTCTGCCCCCATTTTCCCGGCACTCGTATCATTGGTGACCCTGTGCTGTTCTGAGTGTCAGAATTACGCCAATCATTACATTTACTGGTTTGTTCCAGCTGAAGCGTAGAGAAAAAGAACCGTGTTGAAGGAAGAGAGGCGAGCTACTGCAGTGCCAGGAGAAACGGCCAACAGGCCCGACGCGAGCATGTGGAATACATTTCTGCAGTCCAGGCTTGTTAGTTTTATGTTGTCAGTGATTGTTTGAGCTACTTAAACGACTGATTTTCTCCTTGTTACGTCAGTCATCCCTAGTAATTTCTCCTTTACACTTGAGACTGTGACATGCTCTCCTCCGCATGATAAAAAAAAAAAGCAAATGAGCAAATTAGAAAGAAATATGTGAATAAATATCTTGGACTTATTGGAATATTACAGGTGAAACGTCAGTGTGGACTAAATGTTAGGAGTTTAACTAGAGATGCCCTGATCTATTTTTTCCTGGCTGATTCTAAATTCCATCTTATTTTAAAGTCCTGCCGATTGCAGTATTTTATGAGTAACATACAAAAGAACATTGATTTGCACTAAATCCTGTTGGTTGATGTGTTTAAGGACTCAGTGGTTGCAGTTCCTGATTTTATTTGTGTATTACATAGATTAGGATTTCTAAAAATGTATTTGTTTAAGGGAATTTAATGATAGATTTGAATTAGCTCGCTGGTCAGTTGATTGATGCGTCTCTAACTTCAACTGAAGAGACAAATTTGCAGATGTAGAAAAGCCAAGCACATTTCTATTTATCTAAAAAGCTTCCCTAAGCCATCCTAAGAGGTTATCCTATTTACTTTATATTACACTGCCTCTAACTTCATTAATCTGAAAGACACACTAGAATATTTGCAAGACCATTAGACTAAATCTAAAGCCTTTAAGCGGGAAAGGGCGAAGGCTTAGCTGAAAGCTTAGCGAACTGAAAGAAAGAGTCTCATGTTAAATCCCTTTCCCGGCAGTGATTGTCAGAAATCACATTAAAATTCAGCTGCTGACACTCATGAACACTGAGGGAATCCTACTGCTTCACTTCTCTGCGGTGTTTATGTAAGCACACTGCTCTAAAGATAGCTGATAGACATTCACCTCTGATTTTTTTTTTTCTCTCCTAAAGCTCATCCATCAAAATGAATTACAGCTGGCATGTACTAACTGTGCTATGAATTCCCACGGATTTTAGGAGAGCCCCTAACATGCTATATACCCCCCCCCCCCTTTCTCAAACAGGACAATGACAGTGATGGAAGTCTAATCATTTTGGGCAATTATTAGCTCGTCAGTCCAGCGACACGTCACATTTTCTGGCACCTGTTTTTGTCATTTACTGTGATTTGGACTGTCACTCCCACAGTTCAGGAGGCAGACAAATACGTCAGTGACCCTTTAAATCTATCGGTTTTTGACAGATTTGAAGGATGAACATTAGGTCTTGCAGCACAGTCATTGCAGGATACATTTCTAATTAATTATGGCCGCATGGCTTCCTGGAAAAGAGCCACAGAGAATTGTAGTCTTCTTGTATTCTATGGATATTTTAAAACGCAATAATTCCTAAAAAAAAAAACAGCCTGCCGTTTCATCAGCGGGACAAAATATCACCATCTCAGGAAGTTCTTAAATATTCAGTTTATTTTCACTGGGAAGTTTTCACCACATATCCCTTTTCACCCTGTGCCACGCTTTGATGCATAGACATAAAATTAAACAAATCACATGCTCTGGATAAAGACTTCTCCTCTATCCTTAAATCATTCTTTGAAGCCATAACTGCTTGGAGGGGCATATTTTGAATCCTTTTGATAACAGGAGAGATGTCTGGCACTAACTCTCTATGTCTATTCTTTTGTCGTTCTGTTTCAGACATCACTCGCCACTAGATTTGCACAGGAGGCCTTTGGGAAGCAGTACAAACAAACTATCGGCCTGGATTTCTTTCTGAAGAGAATAAGCCTTCCAGGTGAGACACCTTCATAATCTTTAGGGAGCACGTCTCATTTCCAGACACTGCACAGACATGTGTTGCACAACTGGCTGACTTCAGGGTTGAGCAAAACGCAGAGGACGAGCATTGTAGCGTTTGTATTTACTTTGGATAAGCTCAACTTTAATAGAAACACTGATGACACAAAGATGCTGGTTGTTCCCCATCAGTCTCTGTCACTTATTTCTTCTCTCTTTTCATTATGAGGCAGAGCTTTTCATTAACGTTATTTCGGGAGCTGAATGTGACTTTTCTGCTAGTTCCTCATTGTCCAGTGTCTGCCATTTCTCAGCCTTATTCACTCTGAAAGCTCTCCTCTTTTGAGCAAACGGCATATTTCTTTCTGCACTCCACAACCCCAGTGAGCAGATTTATGCCCAAATTTTTGAACACAGTATTATTTCAAATATAGTTTTCATATAATTCTAAAATATAGTTGATATTTGTTAATTGCTTTTTGTTTCTGTTTAACAAACTAAAGTGGAAGTTTTCTCTGCATATTCCTCACTTCTTAAAAACAAATTGATTGAGAGACCACCTCCTATTTTAACTCTTCTTTCTTAAATTGGGGATTTTCTGTGTTTTAAATGGCTTTTATTTATCCTTGGCCAAAACTTAAGATCCAGAAATCTGCAAAGTGGCTCCATTCTTTCATTACTAATAAAACAACATCAAGCGAGGGCAAATTAAGTGCTAAAAGTAAAAGTCATGCTGATTCGTGAGTTGGCAGAAGGGATTCTGTTTTGATTTTGTGTCCGTTTCAGCTCACGGGGCTTAGGAGAACTAAACCCCCAAAAATGTTGTGGTGAAGTCTGGCTGAAAAGAGCCAACTAAAAGCATAGCCTGGGCTCAGCTCCTTAACATGAATATGAACAAATGCTGTTAATTGTATGACCTCTACTCTCTATTCAGTTTCCCTTTTTTTCTTTTTAAAAACTCAGTGTCCTTCCAGCTTTAAACTGTTGGCTCCTCTTTAATATAGATTTCATACATCTGTATCACTGGGGCGGCAACAAAGCTGGATTCAACACCCCAGTTGTTAAATGGCCCATTTTCTGGGGAATTGGGTGTTGATGAGCTGATGAAGAGGAGAGCGGCTCCTCAAGCTGGGTGGTCCCAAATTTAGTATGGACCCCCTTGGATCGGAGAAATTGTGTGGGGCTCTATTGGCTGTAAGGGCCTTTTGCTGCAGGGGGGAGAGTAGCGTATAGCCAGCGCTGGCCCCTCTCCCCATGAAGGCCCAGCTTGTCAAACTTAATGTACATTTTCCAACGCAGGCAGAGGTGAGGCGAGGCCGACTGGCTCACAACAACCTCCTCTGTGTGTGCTTTTTATAACAATACCTCTTCCAGATGTCCCTGCCAAAGCCGTGAGGTACAGGCTGTGTAGGGGACTGACAGGAGCTGAAATCTACTTGATAAAGTCTGTCAGACCTATTGGGTATTTTTCTTCACATCAAATCCAATAAAGGATGGTGATATTTGCTACATGTTTTCTGTTTGACGTTACTAACAGCTATGGATCGACTGTCAACGGGTGATTTATTGTTCAGATAGGGAAAAATCAGATTTTCTTTCTATAAAAACCTTTAAAACCAGGAGCTCCCCCCATTTTTAGACTATAAAGGTATTAAACAGCAGGGTATGCCTTTCTTGCTCTCTTTTTTCCCCACTTTGTTAAAACTCTTTGATTTATGAACAAATACAATATCATGATTCTTTTTATTTTTAACCATAATCAAACAATTAACACAAGTTTCTTCTATTTAATGTGCTATTGTTCCATAAAAAAATGCAATCAGCAGATCAGACCAGAAAGATGAACAAAAATAATGAACATCAGAAACCAGATCGGTGAAAGTCTAGTTTTAGTATTTCTCACCGTTGCATATTGTGCTTCTTGCTGTACTTATGCAAACACACACCAGCTCTGTCGAGTCAGCATGAATCTTTTTTAAACACAAATAAAGCTGGTGTCTGAGCATGCTGGGTGGGTGGGGATGGCTCTTTATGACACACAAAAAAAGCCGTAATTCATGCCTTTCTGGCCGTAACCTGACATTGACAGTGTATAGTCTAGATGAAGCGACTGTGAACCTTGATGTTTCCGTCCTTTTATTTAAAAGGAGGACTTTTAAAGGGGGTCCATAGCATGCGCCCCCATCTCATCAGCGCTGCAGGGCCAGCGCAGCGCTTTCATCGCTCAAATATAAACTCTCCACTGTCCGGACCTCCCTCTTCTTTTTCTAAGTCCTTTTCCAATGGAAGAAAATATTTATTTGGTTTCTAGTCTTTCTCTCACTTCCCGTGATTCAGCTCTTCTTTTCTCTTTCCACAGGCATAAGCAGAACAGTCTTCCCATTTCTTTAATATTGCGTTTAATTATTGTGACTTTCCTCAACTGTGCATAATTCTCCTCACTTTACCGTCTTGGCAGGAGATGGTGCAACACAAACAACGTTTCCCGGGCAAATATAAAGTCATTTTCTTACAACTAGTGTATTGAGACTTTGAAAATTAGAGGGTAGGCGAACATATTCATCCCCTTGATCTGATAGTTTAAGAGCCCTTTGCATGAAAGAGTAATTATGGCTTTTTTATATATTAAAAATTCTAATATAACAAAAAAAAAAAATGCTTGTTTGGAAAGTCCAGGCTGTGGTTAGAGTTGATCCATTATTTCCACAGAATTATGATGTTTAAGGAAAAAGAATCCTGGAAAGAAATCTTTAAATGACAGGCATGTCATATTTTGTCCCTTTCTGTTTTTGTTTGATCATATTAGCTGACAGAGGATTAAAGGAACACATAACTCTTAAATCAAACATTGATTTTTAAAAAGTAATGGAGCAATTAGTGTTTGCCTAACCGATGCAGATTTCAAGTTTTCTTTTACTTCTGTCCATCCAATTTCAACTTTTTATTCTAAGGAGTGGAATGAACATGATAAAAGTCTTGTGTTCCTTTTTTTCAGAAGTAAAAATAAAGGATTAAACTGAAAATGAAGGAATAGCAGAATTATTAATCAAAGTCTCTTTAACCTGACTTATTAGATAAAAAAATGCAGCAGAGTACATATTTTTTGATGTGTTATATACACTAAAATGGTGAAATATCTTAATTTAATTGAATGTCATGAACGGAATAAAAATCCAGATTTTTGAACATTTAAGCCACTAACTCTTATTTATTTGGAATATTAGATGGTGCATTTTTAGTACATGTGGTCATGTTGATTTAATTATTTTTTATTTCTGTGTCATATTTTTATTCCAGGTAACTTGAATGTGACTCTTCAGGTGTGGGACATTGGAGGCCAAACATTAGGGGGGAAAATGCTGGATAAATATGTATATGGAGCCCATGTAAGTACACACTAGCTGACTCTGGTTATGTTACTGATTTTATTCTACCTCCAAACTGCAAAAATATGCATATTTTCTTTAAATCACTTGTAATAAGAGAAAAACATAAGTGTTTTTATAGAAACCAAAAAAAAAGCCAACATATTCCTAGTTTCCAGATCTTGAAACCTGTGCAGCAGAAAATCAGATCTATCACTTTAATGCTCCGTTGCTCCCTTTATCCTTCCATTGGCTGCCTTGTCATGTTAGAGCCGACTTTAAGATCCTGTTGCTCACCTACAAGCCTTTAAATCGTCTGCTGCCCTATTACCTCTCGAAACTTCAGCACTTATATGTCCCTCCTCAAGCGTTTAGATCTCAAGGAACATGCCTTTTTAAAATCACTAAAGCACGAAGAAACATTGTCGGTGAGTGCGCCTTCTCTTTTCGTGCTTCTTTCCTGTGGAACGACCCTCCTCTGCGCATCCGGCCGGTGGATTCTGTGCAGGTTTTTATTGCTCATTTTAAGACCCACTTGTTTACTCTGTCCTATTTGTCCTAAATTCTGCTTTTTGCTTATTTGTTTATTATCTGTATTGTTCTAAATTCCCTCTTATTTTCTTGTACTGTTCAGCCCCTTTTATAAAAGTGTTTTATAATACAGTCATTATTGTTAAAGATATTTAACAATTTAAAAGTAAAAAATGTAATAAGAATAGAAGCTCAAAATTATTATTTTCCTACTTAATGTTTTAATAGTTTATGTCAAACCAAAATATGCTTTTTTTTTAACCAGGAAGAATATTTTGAAATGCTAGACTTTGTTATTCTGCTCCAGTGATAATTATACAAACTGAAAAGTGAAAACAGCAATGTCTGTTATTGATCTCTGCAAGCTTCGAACATCTCCAGACTTATTTGCATGTCTGTGAATGCAACCGATTCCCAGTTGCATTTAGACTTTTACTTGGCCACAGAATTAGGTCTTAAACATTCCATGCTGTGTGTTTTGCAATGACAGGAATTCTTCTGGGATTCTCTTGTATTTAGTTTACCCATCAAATTGGAGCAGATGTTTCAGTTATTACTGAAGAGATTCTAAGGAGATTAGAGAACAGCTAGATTTAATCGAAGTTCGAAATATCTCCTGGTTTCATATCAGGTGAGCTCTGAATCACATTTCCAGGGGTATATATTCTTTTGCAAGGATCTGCATCCATTGAAAGTGTAACCAGAATTGCAATTATTAAAGATACTGCTGCTTGTAGCATCAAGTAGGAGGATCAATTTACTCTGGCAGCTGAGCTGTGTCCCTATTAATACTCTGAATGTACAAAATGTGTTCCTATATAAATAGTGATGGACCAAAAGATCTTGATTAATGGCCCCTAATTTCCTTAATTTGAATTTCTTTTTAATAAACTTTACATTTCAGAGCACTACCTCATGTGCAGATTAAAAAGCTTGTATTATTTCTTCAATAATACATCAAAGGTGTATTATGACCTTATAACACCCGAGATCTGTATTGGCCAAAACTGCATCTGCAGGTCAGACTTTTTAAAGATTGTGATTGGTTAGAAAACTGCAGTAGGTGCACCCTTTGAATACAAGAAATCAAAATGTGTGACTTTCCATCTAAATAGTCTAGATAAGAAAACAAGAATGGTTATCCTGCTTTAAAGTGAATCCTTGCCTGCATTTTTCAAAGCATACTGAAAGTTTAATCATCAATCCTTCTTAAATCTTTGCCAATTTATAACACTTTGCTTACTTTGAGTTTTCTCATCAATGTAGCATAAAGTTTAACACCAACGGTTTGACCCAAATCTCTTGTAATCAATCATGGGTGTTCAGAAAGGCTCTGACTAATTGTTGGAGGTCTAAGCTGTCGTCACCAACACTGCCTGTTGTGACAGTGCATGTCGGTTGAACAAAAAGCAACAAAAGGCTTTTCAGTCATGTTGCATCATGCTGTAAAAGGAGAGTTGTTTTCTTCTGCATTCTCTGCTTTGCCATCCTTGCTTTAAGGAAAGTAAAAGTTTTAGTACTGTTAACGAGCTGAGCTCAATCAGTGTTTTATATCTCGATTTAAGTTTTCAAGTTTTCTGCTTGTTTACTTTGTGATTTATTCTTATGTTTATGTAAATAGCTCCTCCTGACCCCACTGTTTGCTCCAGCATGAGTCTGCTTTTGCTGCGGGACTCTTTCCTCACTATTCTGGATTACTGGGGGTGGAGAAAAGCTGTCTCCAAGCAGACAGGCTACATTCATTAGCTCAGAGTAGATAACCTAAGTTGACCTCAGCGAATTTGAATTATGGATGACAAATTATAAAGGTATTCGTGCACAAATTCATATTTTCATTTAAGATGAGGTCCACATGGATGCCTGCAATCCTGTGCAAATAGTATTAGTGGTTGGGTTGTTAACTTTTAGCTGAGTCAGTTTGTCCCCATCACTGTAGGTCTATCCTTCACAGTAAAAAGAGAAGCAGTGCCACCTACTGTTTCCATTTTTACTTGATAGCTGTCAGTAATCTGAGTCAGATAAAGTTCAACAAAACCTGTCATTTCCCCCCCTTTTTGGGGACATTTATTACATCATCAACTGATAATCTTATAGTTTCCTTTTCTACTACAGGGGGTTCTTCTAGTATACGACATTACAAACTACCAGAGCTTTGAGAACCTGGAGGATTGGTTCAACTTGGTAAAGAAAGCCAACGAGGAATCTGATATCCAGCCCGTTGTTTTCTTGGTGGGCAATAAAAGTAAGTATAACAATCAAGAACACACACACACACATTGCCTTAAAAAATTATTTAGATCTCTATGGAACTTTCCGCGTGTTTTTTGTGTTGCAACCAAAAATTATGGTGAGTAAGGAAAAATATATATTTCTTGTATCTTCTCCCCTTTACTTTTAAATCCCTAAATAAAAAATAGAGAAAAGTAAATTATTTGAAGGCTTCAGATTTTTTCCTGGAGAACTTTGATTAAAAATCAGCCTCATAAAAACCAAACTGCTTACAGTTGTTTACAGAGTACTCCTGTGGGGAAAAAAAAACCCTGGAGCGTCTCAGAAATTCACCTCCCACCTGAACATTAAGGTGAAGCTAGAATGGAACGGATCAGACAAAAGCCTGATAACGTTTCCCTTGTCTGACTCGGACTTTGTGGAAGGACCTGAAAATCAACCCTCATAGATGATCTCCATCCTGTCCGAGTCTGAGACAAGTGATGTTGGTAGAATCATGCCCCAAACCACATGCAGCTTTAAATATAAGAAATTAGTTTTTTTCCTTTATAAATGATAAACTCAATAAGGCTGAGTAAATATGCAAGCCATTTACAATTACCCTCTTATTTGTCGTAATATATTGTGTAAAATCCTCTTAAAAACAAGTTGAAGTTACAGTTTGAAGTACTTCTTCAGGCTTTGTAAGGCTTTGCATGCTTTAAAAATTTGTTTAAATTATTTGTAGCATAGTTGATTTCATATAGTTGTTGCTAAAAATGAGGTCAGACTTGTAAGGCTGAGCTTTTCTGGATGAATTTCTTCCTTCAGCCATTTTCTCGAGTGTGTGTGTGTTTTCATGTGAAGGAGTGAGTGTTTTGATGGTAGCAGACGTGTTTGTTGGAGCACTCGGATAACTGATTGGTCTGATAAGAGAGAATTTTAGAGCAATGGGAATGCTGATGTTTGTGAACTCATGGGAGTGACTGACTATGATTTAACATCTCTTGGCCAACAGACCCAGGTTACTTCTTATCAGCAGCTCTTTCCCTCCTAGTTGGTACCCGTTTGCTCGACCGCCCCCCCCCAATCCAGTCCCATGAAGTCGCTTTAAGGTGAGGAGCTCGATGTTAACCAGATGAATCTTCTCCTATCAGTCTGCACCCCCCCTCCTCCGTCTCCAAAATAAAGGCCAATAATGAGAGCTCTTTTTAAACATCCTCTTGACAAATGTGGAGTCATGGCTGCCGCTGTGTTATTGTAAAGAAAGGCGATTCTGTGTGTGTGTAATGGTGACTGTCCACCATCCCGAGTAATGATGAACAGCTAACAGAGCAATGCCTGCACACTGAAAGCTCCCTAATGTTTCTCAACAGGGACTATAGGTCATGCTTTAATTCAGCTGTCTGGAGCAGATTCTCTTGTCTTCACATCCGTTGCAACTACTGATACCCTGCCTTAAGCTCTGGGCGCCTCTGTATTTAGGCTAGGTTTTAGATATGTGGGTGAAGTGTGCGTACTGTAATATTTAGGTAGTCTCATCACACCATCAGGCTCCTCATTCCCCTTAGCCTCCCACCTACTTTACACATACATTCTCCCCCTAATGGCTGCAGAGCTGCTCACGGGCTGTGTTTGTTATTTTCTGTTCCTAAAGGCTGAAAAAAGAAAAACAAAACCCCAAACAGATTGCCCCTATAGGAATAATTACTTATTTTGTGTCACTTTATTAATCTTTGGACCCCACGAAAAGACTGTCGTTTCTCAGAGAGCCTGACATGAGAGACGGCATCTGGAGCTGTACGTTTCCATCAGACCACTTTGGAAAACTTTAATATGACTTAAATTTTTAAACATTTGTCAAATCTAATCCACTGACCTTGATCATTTTATATGGGTTTTATGCGATAGAAGAGCATGTTGCAAATCAATAACTGTGAATAATTTTTTAATTGATCCCAAAGAGACTTTTAAATGGTAGTGAAAGGAAAATGGTTGATTTTTAAAACTGTTTATGGACATTGCAGGTGTGGAAAAAGACAATCAGATTAGACCAAAATCAAACCTTTTCACACAAAGTAAATAAATAAAATAAAAAGCAGCAAACAACACTACATCACCCTGAACAGGGTTCTCCACTGGTAAAAGCATGGTGTGGCAGCATCATGCTGTTGGCACAGAGAAGGAGGATAAAGAGCAACTGTGAGGGTAACTGACATGAGGCTACATAAGATTTTAAGTGGTCTAGAAAAGGTCCAGACCTGGATCCATTTGACAATTTAGTGACAAAGAATAATCTTCATGTGATGATAAAAACAAACCTTGGACTGCTGATAATAGTGGTAAATATTTTAATGACAAAATCAAGTCATCTTTCCCATCTGTGCCTCAGTCATTCTGTGGGCTTTTAGCATTTGTGTCCAGTGTGAACATCTACTGCTACTGGTGTGTTTCCAGCTGGATAAATATTACATTGGCATATTAAAATAGGTTCAAAGCAGTTTTAGGATATTGGTAAACAATTATTGCTCTAAACATTTGTTTGTGATATTAATATTACCCAATGACTTAATGGCGATGATTTATTTGCAATGTATTGTGCAGACTTCATTCACAGTAGTCTCATTGTAGCCTGACTTTGTTTACTCTAAGAATTTGTAAAATGTTTAGCATATAGATTAGCATAGCTGCCACATATTCCTTAAATAACTTGCAACAGGAAGAAAGCCAAATTCTGGACCCTAGCAAATAAAATCAGTAATAGACAGGAAATGCATTTATTAAAAATTGTCTTTATTGGTCTTTTACATTATCCACATTTGATTTAGGATTCTTTGAATATTTGTTCTCCAAGAACTGTAGCTTTTCCCTTCCTCCAGTTTCTATCCTTGTCGGACATTAGTGGTAAGCTGGGCAATGAACACACCACATTCTTTTTCATGCAGAGTTTAGATTTCAGACGGTTCCCATGATGTTGCACAGAGAGCAGCAACATGTTTGTGACTGCTGAAATAGAAGTACAGTCATAACAAGGAGCTTAGCAAAACACTTCAGATTTATGTCTCTGGGAGGGCTCCTATTGTGGGAGATTTTGGTGTTTAACAACCTAAGGCTGCCTTTATAGTCTTTCTAATAATTTAAAATTTAGGGAAGCAATTGATTGGAGATTTTTCTATTTTTTCTATTTTTTATTATTTTACCTTTTTTTTAGGTAAAACAAAGTATAATATATTTTTAATTATTATTATCATTGGCTACACTGCTTCTTGCTGAGAATTACATTTTCCAGAATTGCTGTGACTGCCTTTCATTTTCTTTTTTAGTTATTCAGGGCCACTGAATGATTATGTCCCCTCTGGACCGTACCTCGGCCATGTCCTTAAACCATGTCAGGTACATCCTTTCTTTCCTTCGGCATATGATGGGTTAAGTGTTGTTTTTATTCACCCGCTGTTTTTGTGCTCCCTTGCCTTTAAATAATTATCTTTATATGCCAATTAAACGTTGTACATTTCAGTTAAATGTATCCTTTGCGTCTAACCCATCACTTAGGGAGCAGTGGACTGGCACTGTGTAGTGCTGAGGGTCTGCTTCAGGGACCCAGTGTGGCAGCCTGTAGGACCCCAACCAAGGAACCTGCAGCCTTGCCAGGACACAAAACACTCTGCTAAAACCACTAGGCCATCACTCATCAAAATAATGGGAGCACTTGTAACAATTCAGATTGAACAAGTTTACTAAAGCAACATGTGTGCACACCATTATTTATGTGCCTGCATTGAAACGTACACATATCCTTTGGTAAAAAGACATACTTGTGTGGTTTCTTGGAACACATTAGTAATGGAAGAATGCTTAGCTCTCAGTCTGTCCAAACATACTAGAACTGTGCTTACAGTGCTGCCTCATGTTATGCTGTATTATACACATTTTAAAGAAGGCATGAACTGTTCTAATATTCTCAAGATACGTTACTCCGGAGACAAAAGGCCACAATATCCAAGTATTTACCCCAAAATTGAAATCAAAATTACAGAGTCATTTGAGTTTCTAACTAAAACAGGCAACCAACATTAATTCCTGTTGTTACTTTAATATAGCATATAATGTATTGCTTTGTCATTGTATCTTTGGTAGAAAATCTTCAGCAGACATAGAATAGACACCGGGAAAAGTGAGAAGTATCTTTCTAATGCTGATTGACAATATTGTACCTTTTTTAATGTACAGGTCTCTTTAGGGAAACAGACATGCACTAAAAACATGTTGACTAACATATGATGCAACTTTTTCAAGTCAATACGATATGGATTTGGCAACTTTTTAGTGATGACCGATATTGACCTGATAAAATTTTCGCACAAATCATACTTTTATTACTTATTTTGTCGCGTGGGATGTTAAAAAGGCTCGATTATGTAATATTACTAAAACAGAGAATAAATGTCTAAAATAAAACAAGAGGTATAAGAACAGCTGACCGACCCATTTTGGGGTTAACCAAAGGGTTATGTCAATTTTAAATAGAAGCAGAGTGCTTCTATGAGCATTATTATTTCTTACATTTTAGATGCTGATATATATTCAGATACTGATTTTTGTCTGTTATCGGGCCGATTTCCATTGGATCAGGAAATCTCTACTTAAGGGCTGTACTGCATACAGTCAGTTCTGTATCATACTAATTGTATTAGTTTATTAGAGGGATGAATCCCATTCATTCATATCATCTGCTACAAATATTCCACAGCAACATGTGGGGGAAGGGCATTGCTGTATTACTCTTTGCCAGGTACTGCCAGAGGAAAAAAGAAACACAACTGCATTTTCTCTGGAATCTAATTCTTCTTCTTTTGGGGAAAAGCTTGAAGGATCTGAAACCATAAGTGCTCAGAACCTTTTAGTATACTCTGATCTGGTAACCAGCTTAATGTAGGCAGCAAAGTATGTTGTATATTTTTTACAAAAGGTTACAACCTAAGCTGATGGAATCTTCCCCTCTCTGCGTCATACATTTAGCTTGTTTTGACAGCC